GTAGTGAAATAGGTTAGCATATCATTCTGGTGCTATCAAAAACCCTAGCTATCTCTTGCTTAATTTTTCCCAACCCCAAATTCTAATGTCATTGCCTTGCAGGTATTCTACACAACTTTCTAATAGCCACGAATTTGACCCTTAAACCTGTTCAATGGCTTCCAAACAACACTAATCCTCGGATTACCCAATGAACCTTCAATGCACCAATTTCCACCATGAATTAACCATAGAAAATCCTGAATGCAAACCATTAAATCCTAAACCTTTCATTGTCCTATATCAACCATGCATGAAGTACAAAAAATAAATTCCCATATTAGACCCATTGAGGAAGATTAAGATCCAATGTAGCCACAATGCATCTTATCCATAAAAATACTCACTCTAATAAAAGGCACCTAAGTATTCAAGATCTAATACCACCCTTGCCATAAGATAGCAGTCAACTGAAGAAGATAATTTTTCATGAAAAATTAAGATGGTACTATGCCCCTCCAGTGAGTACTAATTGCTTACTTATCTCAATAATGCTTGCAACTTGCAAAATAAGCTTTTAACTGCGAAGTTGACTAGTATTTACATACCTAATTGGTGTGGTTGACAAAATTGAGATTGTAAGAAAGTAGAGATTAGCCACCCGTCTGAACTGCAGGACAAACAGAAATTTTCTATCTTCTGAGTAACATAAGATAATGTAACAAAGGATAACCCCATCACTTACAAGCATGATTTAACTTTAGTCAATAATATACAATTTTATAAATAAGAATAAATAAGAAAAAATAAAGGCAAATATATTTGAGAACACAGGTTGTAGAGCCATTTTATATGTGACTCCACTCTCGTGAATTTGTAACAGAACCGATGCAAGAAGGCTAATTTAAGAGGAAAAAGAATCAAAGACAGTAAAACAAAACAAAACATAATCAGCAGTGTAAAGAATGCCTCAAATAATCACATATCTATACTAATATATAAAGGGATACTCATTTTAGTAACCACCTTGGTCTCCACATTTTGTTGACCACTATACCCTTTCATTTTAAAAAATTGGAAAAAAAATATTTTTTACCAAAATCAAGATCTTAAAATTAATGGACTAATCATAACACTAGATCAACATACATTCATTACTTAATTTTTATTTTTAATAAAGTCACGAAGTGTCTCGATCCCACTAGTCAAAACATAAATTAATTAATTCATTACTGGTTGGTACCTCAAGACAAACATCAATCTGGACAACCAAACAATAACCATACATTTAATGTTCCTTGACGAAATGAACATATAAAAAATGTAAAAAGTGCTCTAAAACATAGCACAAATCATATAAGCCGAAGTGTGTCATCTGAAAGAGCCACAATGTACTTTCAAAAACTACTGAAGAATATAGTCTCCAGAAAATGCAAAAACACATGGTAAGAAAAGCCTCATTTTTAAAAAAAAAAACTGGAAATCAATTGCATCTCACATGTTCTCCAAAATCAAAAGCTTAGAGTAACTTACCTGTTCAAATAATCCTTTTGGCAGAAAGGTGAAGAAGTTATATTTGGTAGTTGATATAGAATTCCCCTGTAATGATGGATATTAACTAATCAAAATTACTAAATTTAGGCATGTCAAATATATATATATATATATATATATATATACACACACACACACACACACACACATATAAAAACACATATGTCATCTAGCACATTACAATTTCTCTCGGCAAGAAGTTATATTTGGTAGTTGATATAGAATTCCCCTGTAATGATGGATATTAACTAATCAAAATTACTAAATTTAGGCATATCAAATATATATATATATATATATATATATATACACACACACACACACACACACACATACAGACACACATTATAATATCTTGTATGAAATGGAAAACTCTGATTCCATGAAGCATGGAAACAAAAAATTAATGAACATTCTTAAGATGTATGCATAGCATAACAGTAGAAATAAATAAAATCAATTTGATTTCATATTAATTATTAATCAATTAACTGTAAGGCAAACTGCACTATGATTTCCTCAACTAAATTTCAACTGACATTCATGCTTAAAGCTAACTTATAAAAAGGAGGAAAATTTCACGAAACTTTTATTTTCAAATGTCTGACTGAAAAATAATGGCAATGTTAGACATCACAATCTTTTTATATGTACATTTTCCATCCTAGATAATCTGAAAGATCCAAACTGTTAGAAACCATACTGTCTTGGAAAATAAAAATTCACTCACCAATAACCTATATTTTATGCTTCACAAGATTCTAACTTCTTTCATATCAATTCATAACTTTCAAAAACTGTTTTAAGAATTCAAAATCAAACATTGTAGAAAGAAATGAAATTCTGTATATTATGAAATGAGTAAAATGTACAAAAGGTGCTAAGCTTCTGTTTACAGTGATGTATTTATACAGAGGCTTAGCTACAGGACACAGGTTAGTGACAACTGTGAACTAAAGCAGTTACAGCTTAACTATAGTTATTCACCTATAGTTGTTTACTAAACTAAATACAGAAAGGAGTTATACATGAGAGTAAATTACTCTTTTACACTATGCCTTTTATTCAGAAAAAATGCTACAAAAAGTTCTAAAATGCAGTTAATTGCTATTCCTACTCTCAGCCAATCTTAAACATTGAAAAAATAGAACAATGCAATCAATTGGCGCAGTTAAACCTTCATAATGTAACAAATAACTTCAAAACGATGTCAAATGTTACCAATTGGAATTATAGGGATTTAAGTAAAGGAGGAAAGAGAGAGCAAACTCTGAATAATAGAATATGATATTGATATATAGCATGTACCAGTATGTTACAAAATACAAAGAGCATCAATCCCTACTTACTCTAATTTCAGATTCCAAATGCTAATTAAATATGAAATATACTAGGAAATATGATGAAATAAGGAAAGCATTCCTAAAAGATCATCTAACGGTATATTTGACTTGACAAAATGATTTTAGTTTTCAATTTTGATAATAAAAATGTTACTTAATTATATTCAAAGGTTTTTTGTATTAAAATGTTTATATTGTTTTCACTGTTTCATATATAAATCTTAGAAAATAATAAATTAAGTTAAAATAATTGGGCATTTTTGTAATAAAAAAGAAAACAAGTAATTAAACCAAAAAAAATTGTCAAAGTAAACAAGACATAAGATACTCTGAATATAACAATGATATTATGAGATATTTTCTGAATATTCTAACACTCTGAATACAATTAATTAGACTTGAGCACACTAAAAGAAAATATACTGAATATATTAGAGAGGCTGGAGATGGGGACATCTTGGACAGTTAGACTAGAGTATTGGGGACAGTTAGACTTACATCTGATGGGGAGAAGCAAAGCAAGTAAAATTTGAGTGTTTAAAAGAGTGTGTCAAAAAGTGTGTTCTTAGCATTTCTCAAGACTAAATATACAGAATTGCCAACTTCTGATATTGTAGGGATTAGAGAAAAGTAGAGGGATGAAGACAAACTCTGAATATAAAATGAAAGGGAGGGAAGAACATTCTCCAAGAAAGAGCATGGAACAGCAAGAGACTGAACTGAATAGAAACAAAAGAACAAAACATCAAAGATGGTGCCAAAGAACAGAACAAGGCCGAAACACCACAAAAGGTGCTGCAAAACAGTAGAAATGTCCAGGGATACGGCCAAAGAATAATGGGTCATATTTCAGAAACACGGGCGCATGATTGTTTTGCAATAGGGTTTTGATTTCAAACCCCAAATAAGGGAAGCAAAATCATGAAATTGTCACTCCCCCTGGTTTTCAACCATTAACCAAAGTCATGCACACTAATGCCGCAAATAGTCACTAATATGACCACAATTTACACCACTCCAGGTGCAACAGCAAGCTGTGACGCAATGGCCTTCAATGGAGCAGCCATAGCCATGAAGCAACGCAATGTCACTAGTGCCATAAAGTGCACAATGAGAACTCTGGGTAGAATTAACCACATGAATCAAACTGCACCATAAAGTTCAATTGCAAATCATGTCTATAATTGAACTATTAACCTCTGAATCCTGAATCCTTCTTAATTGCTTCACTTATAGTACATCTCTAGCAACAGGGGTGACCTTCATCTGATTTACTTTATTCACTAGAGCTGCTACAGGTCTTCTCCATTACTTGTTCAAACCACCTAAGGCGAGCATTCTACCGTCATTTTTACAATAGGTGCTACCCCAACTTCCTCTCTAACGTTGTCATTCATAAACCTATATTGTCTGGTGAGAGAAATTACTTGAGAAGTAAATTCAAAAAAACTTGAAAAGGAAAGGATGTGCCCACCCGAACTTTATATCATCTCATAATCAAAACATTAAATTAAACGTCTCCTTCAAAGAAAAGGAAAACGCCAAAACGAAGTAATCCATGTTTTTATTTCTTATTATTCTATTTGATAGCAGCTTGAAATTCTGAACCGTCCATGTGAATGAATTTCACTGTCTTTTATTAAGTGACTGACAAGGCATTCCTCAAGCAAACTCCGTAGGTGTTATTAGACTATCTTCCGTCAACGAATAGACCCAGTAAAAACAAAATGATAGTTTATTTAGAGTTTCGAAGTGTAAAATGGAACTTGCAGGTGGAAATTCTTCAACCAATTCGAAGAACAATCAAAACGCACTTGTTTAAATAAGAAACACGTCTACTCATCAAAGTTGAACTAACCTTGGATCTTCGTTACAATTACACATCAACAAAACACCAATTAACCAATCACTAACTTCCACAATCAACAAACTTACTCAAACAAACACTGAAACATCGTCAAGCTCTACATAGCCAGGCACAAACGGCAATTAACCGCAAAAACAAAGACGAATAAAAATATGAAAAGAAAAAAAGAAGCAATCGGGGAAGCTAGTTAAGAAGAAAAAGGAAATCTCAGAGGAATAGGAGGGAACCTTGAATCGGATGGGAAGATTGGCCTCGCGATCGTTGCAGAAGATGGTGCGGTGAGTGGGAGCCTGAGGCTGAACTCGGCCGAGTCGAACCGTTCGAGAGGTAGTTTGATGGCCCAACGTGGAACTCGATCGCGAAGAGAAAGTAGATTGAATCCCATCCCATCCCTTCATGGTTCAATTTTTCATGCGATGGCTTCTTCTCTTTCTCTGCGAATCAACCAACCAATTGCTTTTATTTTAACACGCCAATGAATTTCGAAGGCGCAAACGCTACTTGGGTTGGTTTGGTGCTCCTTCCAACAACGCTGAAACCAAGAGATTCAACCCCCCCACACCTGCTTTTACCATTTTGCCCTTCCCTTCTTCTTTTTTTTTTAAAAACTTTTAATTTTTTTCTTTTTCCGGAACCCGCGTTCGCGTTGCTGTAGGCGTGCTAAATTCCCTCGGGCTCACGCTACATTCCCTTCTTCGCATCACAATAATATTTTTATTTTATTAAATTCTATAAATATTTTGGACATTTTCAATTTATATTAAAAAAATAATGAAAATTACATAACAATAAGTAAAAAGATACTTATTTTGGGGCTAGGAGGATTCGAATTCTGCCTTGTGTATGCAGTCACGTTAAATCTTGGGACTATCTATCTCATCCTTTGAGGTGTCTCCAACGTAACGAGAAAATTAGTCACTGCTATCAGTGATGGATATTCCAGGGACAAACAAAAAAAAAATATTATTCATGAATAACAGGTATTCACTTTATAAATATAGATTTTTTTTTAAATTTTAATTTAATTTTATGATTAAGTAAATAATTCACTTTAAATAATAAAACAAGTAATCTCAGATAAATTAATATTATATACATAACAAATTGAAAATATGTTAAACTATTAATTATTGTTTTTATTTACAATTAATGTTAGTTACTTTACCCATTATCATTTTAGAAAACTAAATCTTAAAAAAAAAATATAATACTGAAAGAGAGGGAATTGTTAGAAATGACAACGGAGTGAATCGGATACGGGTTTCATTATACTCGTCCTTGATCTTGCAACTCAAACTCATCCATGTACCCGTATTTGTATATATTATTTTCATCATCATTCTCGTCCCCATCGAGTATCGAACATACTCATACTCATACCTGTATCTATCAGAAAAATTGTAAAAAAATATACAGTATTTTTAAATTATTTTTTTATTATATTATAATTATAATTAAATTATTTTTTTATCTCATATTTTAATCAAAAAATTTCTTAATAATTAAACAATTATAAATATTTCACATTATAATAAATAATTACACATAATAAAATATTAAAAATTGTTTTTATTTACAATTAATGTTAGTTACTTTACCCATTATCATTTTAGAAAACTAAATCTTAAAAAAAAAATATAATACTGAAAGAGAGGGAATTGTTAGAAATGACAACGGAGTGAATCGGATACGGGTTTCATTATACTCGTCCTTGATCTTGCAACTCAAACTCATCCATGTACCCGTATTTGTATATATTATTTTCATCATCATTCTCGTCCCCATCGAGTATCGAACATACTCATACTCATACCTGTATCTATCAGAAAAATTGTAAAAAAATATACAGTATTTTTAAATTATTTTTTTATTATATTATAATTATAATTAAATTATTTTTTTATCTCATATTTTAATCAAAAAATTTCTTAATAATTAAACAATTATAAATATTTCACATTATAATAAATAATTACACATAATAAAATATTAAAATTATTTAATATAATTAAATAGAGGGTGAGTATTAAACTAAGGATGGATAGGGGTACGGGAACTATCAAACCGTATATTTCCCGTTAAAGTCAGGATAGGTTCGGATAATATCCACGGATATGAATTTATTTATCATCCCTAAAAATTGTATTATTGCAAGCGAGATTAATTTCCAGACTGTGTCAAAAGAAAAATTCCAAAATTCATTCCCTTGACCTTAACCATTTTTCTTAACAAGCGACGTGTAACTTGCAATTGTTTTTTCAATGCTACCTTGACCCGTTCCTTGTAGAAGTATTCAAAATTCATAAGTTGTTGATTATTATTTTCCTTAGCCAACTCATTTTTCCAGGTCTACTCGGATCAAGTAATACCTTCCATTTAACAAAGCAAAGACCGGATGCTTCCTAGTTCTCATCATCCTTCAGCAAGAGACTTGAGGATAAACAATTTTATTTTTATTTTTCTTATAAAGAATTATAACTCTTTCTCATTAAATTAATCTTTATAAAAATAAAGTATTACTTTCCATAAGATGAAAATCAAACTCAAGTCCTTTGGTTAGGGATAAACAAATTATAATGTTTATTTTTTTAGTTTATGTAAAAATGATAAATTTGTTTCAAAAAAATTTAAGTATTTATTATTAATTTTAGTCTGTATAAGTTTTGAACATAGTATTTGTTATCATTTAATAGTAATATAGAACATCGTATTTGTTGTCATTTAATAGTAATATAGCACGCACTTAATTATGGCATGTCAAGCATTTGCAAATTTTAAACATGGTATTTGTTATCATTTAATAGTAAATGACGCGTACTTATAATATGTCAAGCATATGTATATTATTTTGTTAGCATATATTTGAGGGGCTTACCTCTAACTTTTTTCTATTTTAAATTTTTTTAATATTATGTATATCAAAGTTATTGTTTTTATTTAGCAGAGTTTAACTTTAAAAACAATAATAGTTAAGTGTCATCTATTTCTGTTCTTACCGAAAATCTGTTGTAGAGCTGATCCGCCGGGTAAGATTGGTGAGCCTCCTTCGCTGGGTGTATTGGTGCTCCGAGATGGGGGAGGTACCTGCAAAAGAGACTCCGATGCTAAAATTAGGGTTTGTATGAGTATGAGTCTCGTATATATATAATGCACATACCTTTGTGTGAGTTAGGGTTGTCTTGGGCCTTTGGGCTTGAGATAAGATATATCATGATATGATATGATATAATTGAAGGGCGGATCTGGTCTGGGACGAGATCCTCGGAATCAGGTATGATTCGCTCAAATGTCGGGCTGACGTCATGCACCGCGTGCCCGGGGTTACTTGTTTGCAACACTAATCCGGGCTAGGAGCCCGGGTGCGAAGTACGGTTAGTACACTAGCCCCCCGAGCTCCGAAAGCCGTAGGTTGAGGAGTTAAGACCGGGCTTGCTGGAGGGGGAGCGACTTGGTGCGTACGCTATCTGGAGCTTCGCCACGTGGCGCGGCTGTTCATTTCTGAAACGTGCGGTCGGCGCACTAAAGGAAATGGCGGTTAAGCGATGATGGCTTGCATTTAATGTTTTGTCAGGCGTGCCCCTTGGTCGACACGTAGCCTGGCGGTTTTGAATTTCGGGGAGAGGCTTTTCCCTTTCTCGCGCCTTTGCCCTTTTCGCTTTACTCTTTTTCTGTCTATCGGCTTCTTGCGCACGTCTCGTCTTTGCTTGCTCCTCGTTTCCGTTTTCTTTGTGTTTTCTTGATGGCTGGCGGTTATGGCGGCAAGTCTTCTGCCTCCACTAGGGGTAGGGTACGTGGCAAGGCGGTGGTCGCCGCCGAGGCAAAAGGGGCCATGATCAAAACCGATGTAGAATAACCCATTGATTTTAATTTTACATCGGTCATAAGTAAAACCGATGTAAATACATGTTATATCTTTTATTTAATTACAAGTTTGCCACCGCGTTTATGATTTACATCGGTTCTGCTAAAACCGATGTAAATATGACGATGTAAAAGAGTGTTTTTGTAGTAGTGAGTAAAAAGGAGATACAATTTTTCTTTTGGTTGATTATTACTTAGTTATCTTTGCCAAGAGATCCCTCATCTCAAAGAAGTTTAGTTAATCAAAAAAGATTGAAATCATACATTTGCAAAGTTGTTGATTGGCTGAGCCAGACGAGCGACTTCTTCCAGGGATCTCGAATCTCGGCTGCGAAGCGGCCCCAGGGGTGCTTCCTGACGCCGCGAAAGCGCGTCTCCTTGGGCAGAGGGTGGTGGTGGGCGGCAGCGGCTCTCCCTCGGTGCATCTGGGTGTGGAGAGTGGTTTATTGCTCTTCTACAAGAACCACCAGGACGGGAGGAATGGGTTTGGGTGATCTGGCAGAGGAAGGCGAGGGAGTCAGAGGGAGAGGGAGAGGCAGCGACGGCGGCGTAGGAGTGGAGGAGGGAGTTGGGGAAGCGGGGATTGGAGGAGGAGGTTTGGGGATTTGAAGAGAGGGAGAGGAGGAGGGGTTTGGTGTTTGTTTGGAGGGAGAAGGGGGTTAGGGTTCGCGATTGTAGTGCGAAATGAATGAGGGATTTTCCCCATCACGAGAATAATCTCATTTATACATCGGTCATGATCAAAACCGATGTAGAATACATGTTATATCTTTTATTTAATTACAAGTTTGTCACCGTGTTTATGATTTACATCGGTTCTGCTAAAACCGATGTAAATATGACGATGTAAAAGAGTGTTTTTGTAGTAGTGCTCAACTTTTATATTATGACACCCTCTACCCCAACTTTAATACACAATAAATTAAAAAAAAATTTCTTCTTTTTGAGTAGATAAAACCTTTCATAGTTTGATAATATCTTTCTTATATAAAACAATTGTCTAAAATATCATAAGGTAGAAGATTCACATTCGTAACTCATAAATCATAGAAAATCCTCTTGTAAGTATCAAAATTCAAGAGATCGTATAAAAGGAAAATATAGATTAATTCCAGCAAAGGTGGCAGTGCCTCCTAGTTAGGAACTAATCTATAACTTTCAAATCAGGTAATAAAATAGTATGACAAAGATGCATATTTTGGTCTTTTATCAAGGACGTTAAAAGTTTATCAAGGACGTTCAAAATTACAAAAGAAAGATTACAACTTTATTTACGTTATTTCTTTGCTAGAAATTACAAAAGAAAACAAACTAAAGTTATTAAAACAA